CCAGCATGTGCCAGGCAGCCGTATGCCCGGCCCTGAGCTCTCGGAGAGGCTGCTGAGGGTTAAACATCTCTTCGTCTTCACAACCTGCTAGGGTTGTGGGAACTGGAGTTTTCAGCAAGGATGAAACATTAATATTGCCATGTTCTCTTCCATTTTGGGGTGAAAACAGAAAATAGAAGTGAAACAGATGAAGCTCAAAGATTTAGGGAAAAAGTTATTGCTAAATTACAACTTCTTTGTTCTGATAATTCCATAAATAACCTTTTTTTTTCAAGGCTGATGTTTCATTTTGGTATTTTAGAATGGAATTGTTGTGTTTGCCTCCTCAGTTTGGGAATCCTTGAAGTTTTTTATATTTTTTTTCTTATTCTTTCTTCTTGGAAACAATTGTAATGAAGTAGGAAAACTCGGTTTTCATCTACTTTCATCTACTTTAATGTTTTCCAAATAGAAAATATAAGACCAAAATTACAAGATATTGAATTGAAAGGCAAACTCCCCTACAAACACATTCACTTTTTCTCTACTGTTCTGTTTCCTTGTTTACTGTAAAAAAGAAGTGAAAAATGTATTTCCCTACTCTTTCTTGAGCTTCACTGAAAAGGAGGGATAAAGAAAGAAAAACAAGCGCACAAATGTTTTCCAAAAATAATAACATTAAATACAAAGTGTAAGATCCATTTTTAATTCAGCAATGTTTAGTTTTCCATAATACTTTTGGAAATGCCCGTATTTTAAAGGCATCTGTTCTTTTGATTTACCTGTTACTTCCAGTTGAAATTTCTTAAGTAGCTCTACTTGAGTCTGTTGAGTGAAGAGCCTCTAGAAGAATAAAAAAAAAAGTATATGCACTTAATGAGCAACAAAGTTAGTGATCTGTAGCAATTACCCAAGTGAGTAATTCTGTTTCATTAATGCACCCTAAAGCACCAAGCTGTTTTGTCAATGGGCACTGCAGGGCCATTGCAGTGCTCAAAGAGACAGTTATGTTACCAACCGCGGTGTAAGGGATAGGTTTACCAACAAGGAGGGAGAGAGACAGTAGCTTAGCGTAAGAAGAAAATTAAAGACCATCTATTATTGTCACTGAAGCCAATGGCAATATTTGTAAAGACTCTAGCAGAGCAGGGTCACACATCACTTTTTTCTGGCTTTTCCAACTTCCAGTTTCTTGGTGACTGTGTTTTGTTAAGAGGGCATCTTGATGCACGTAGCATCTCAGTTTGAAAGGGGAAGGAGGGCAGGTACCTCTCTTGAATCCTTCTTGGAGGAAAGTAGAAAAGCAGGTAGCAGAAAGGAAGGCAAAGCTGTATTATAACTTCTAGGCATCTCTGGATCACTCGATATGGGACACACACAGTATATGATATATTAAGGTGAAGCATTGAATATCCATAAAGGAGTACTAGCAAATGGTGTCAATTTTCAAACACTTTGCTTTGTCAGCTTCACAAATTTAAAATCAATCATCAAAAAGTCTCTGTATAGATCAGCTGAAGAGACATAAAACCTTATCTCCCTGACAAAAAAGTTGAAATTAAAGATGAGTTTATAAAGACTCAGACTGGCAGAATTCTGTAGTGCTAAAAACTGGGGTCATCCAACCTCTCAGTTTAGAAATAAATGCTGAGGAAAAACAATGACACTCAGCACACTGCTAATAAATACATCTCGGAGGACAGTTGAACACGCAGAAAAACAGATTTCACAGAGAGGCTTATTTTCAGCATGGATGCCATTTTCTCACTGCATTATCATAAACATGAGAGAAAAAACAGCTATAAATAAAAAATTCTTGGGCAGCCCCTGGAGACTTGTCAAAAATATGTAGGTTTTGTATGCTGCAGTGTAAAAGTATTCATTAAAATTAATTTTTAAAATGCCCTGTCCAATATTAGTTGCCTGATGTCCTTCCTTTGATCATAAATTATAAATGAACCAGCAAAAAATGAAGAAACCGTGATTCCATTAATGAATTATTTAAGTGTGATTGTTAGTTTTCGCGATCATTGGGCTAATAAGCTCAGGCTTTTGACACTGAAGTGTTTCTCATTTGAGGGTGATGATGATGGTAATGTTATTAGCACCATTATCAGTGTGTCCCGTGAAGCATAAAGCCAACCGGCTCCTTTGGTGGCTACGCGGTGGCATGGCCGCTGGAGCGTTCATTGGGTCTGGACTGCAGGAGAGGGAGCGGACACTGAGGAAAGCCGGTGTGGGCAGGGTTGGCTGGGTGGCCCCCCCCAAGGCAGCACTTTAAAAAAGACAAGCAGCATACTGACACGAGAGGATCTTCTCCCTGCAGCAGCCTGCCGGTGACGGCGGCACACACAACCCGTCCAGCGGCGGCTCCGGGAGCTCCAGCGAGTCCGAGAGCAGCTCTGAGTCCGACTCCGACAGCGAGAGCAGCTCCAGTGACAGCGAGTGCAACGAGGAGTCGCGCAGTGCCACGCCGGAGGTAAAACCACACTCTCAGCTCCTCCCCAGTGGGGGCTCGGAGGCGGAAGCGTGGAAGGGAGTGAAATCCTGCTCCCTGTTAGGAAAAAGTTGGAGTGCTGTGCTGTTTGATGCTGTCGACTTTTTTCTCCCTTTACAGTTTTACGTGTATGACCCACATACTCATTCTAGCTTCTGGAAGAATCCTTCTGGTCTACATTTGAATTGCTTTAAAGAAATATTTAGATTTTTGCCAGTAGCTAGAGAAGATTTTATTGACACAGTATTCAGCTGGGACTAACGAAAGGCAACATGACAAAACTATATCTTCAGGGACCAGCTAAACTTTTTAGTTGTATTAAATTTCTCCAGGGCCACATTGTAAACCAGATAAGGAAGCCTAATTAACCATAAATACTCCATAAATACTCCCATAAAACTAGCAGTCACCACTAGTTGACTGAAATAAAAGGGTATGTTAAAAACATTCTCATTTAAAGGGAAAAGCATTGCTTTTGTCTGAGATTTTTCCTTGTCGTTCTTCAAACTGCAGCCTGAACCTCCCTCAACAAACAAATGGCAGCTGGATAAATGGCTAAATAAAGTGAACCCCCACAATAAGACCATCATCAACAATCAAAATGAGCCTCACAGCGAGACCAGCTCCCAGGCCCAGAGCAACCAGCAGGCCGAAGGGCCAAACAAAGGGAAGCTCAACAGCAGCCTCCCCCCGACCGATTCCAAAGACCGGGCGATCCTTAGTCCCATCCGAGAGAAAGCCAAACCGCGGGTTGCCCAGAAAACCCCAGAGGCAAAAAGCTCCAAGCAGAAGTCACCAGCTCATAACGAGCCAACTTCACAAAGGACTACTGGGAAAAAGCAACCCAAAAAGGTAGAAAGGACTTCCAGTGTAGAAGAGTATAACTGGCCCAAACCAAATAATACCAGCAACACTCCCAAAGAAAAAGACACACAGGACCCCCCCGAGCAGCCAAAGGTTCGAACTAAAGCAGCAGTTGGGAAGACCGCTCCAAGGAAAGAACCACGAACTAGCACAGGTCTCACTTCAGAGAAGAAAAAGTATAGAGGCCCCAGCAAAATTGTCCCTAAGTCCCGGGAATTCATTGAAACGGATTCATCTACTTCTGACTCAAATACAGACCAGGAGGAGAGCTTGCAGGCTAAGGTATTGCCAGCTTGCACTGGCTCTGGCAATGGCGTCAAAGTGAAGGACTCTGGCAGTAACATCCTCAGCGTAAGTAGTTTAACTAGCAATGGCAGCAACACATCCATTGACCAGACCAGCAATGACTTGGAGGAGCAGCTCTTTTCTCCTATCCCAATCGTACAAAATGATCTTCTGTCCCCACTGAGAGAATATGAAGAACTCAAATCTCTGTGGGTGAAAATAGACCTTAGTTTACTCTCTAGGATACCTGGACAAGAGCCTTTTGAGGCCTCGTCTGTGAAAAGTGAACCAAGAGAGACAAATGTGAAACACAGGCGACCATCTCGAGAGTCCCCTACCCCAGCAGCTGAAAAACCATCCACAAAATCCAAAAGGAAACACAAGGTAAGTCGTTTTCATTGTTCGGAGGAAAACACTGCATTTCTATGTATCCTTGAGGTCAGGAGTGCAGTCAGTGATTCCTCACTGCACCTGCAGCAGGGCTGTAAGGAGGCATCATAACACTAAGGCTTTATTGTTTTTACAAAGTACATTACAAATTAACATCAGAAACTAGTAAAAAGCAAACTCCAGCTGACAAAATCAATAAACAATGTATTTTTTCTGAGATTTGTCTTACAAGGTTTTTCACTGTATTTTCTCACTTACCCATTAATTTCCAGTGTTCTGTAATCTGCAGAAAGATTGCTAATGATGAGTTCGTATTACTACGGGTTCAGCCATGCTCAGAAAATGTGACTTCTATTTGGAAGGCAGGGTTTTATTGTCTGCAGAATTAAGGCATTTTCACCACTGGCTTAAACAGGCATAGCTTCATTAAAGTCAATAGAATGGTGCTTGTTTATGCTCCTGGTGAATTTAGTCTTTATATTGTTTTGTTGTATAAACAAATGTGATTCATAGAAATATCATTTGCTTAACTAGCTGCTTTCTCTGCACAGCTACCTGAAAAAGCAAATATATTTTGACTTAAGGCGTTATGTTTTATCATGTGTTTTATGTTATTTATGCCCGAGGGTATCCTGTCTTGTGGGATATGACAGTGCTCTTCAAACTGAATGTGTTTTCAGAAAAGAAACTGAAGTTTTATATCATAAATGAATTTTCGTAGTCACTTTTTCCAGCTGACATGGTTGTGCGCTGGTCTGTCTCTGAGAAGTCATCATAGCATATTTTTTTATACCCCAAATTTTATAAATCATTGTGAATGTGACTTCAGCTGTCTGTTCTAGTGGACTTCTTGAAATCTTGAGTTTGAGCAGTCCAGTGGTACGAGAGAGTTAATACAAGACAAAGACAGACAATGCCAGGTCTGCACCCTGCCTACATGAGTCACTGCACCGGCTCCTTCCCTGTTGAATTAAGTGGAAATAATCACATGAGTAAACTCAGCAGGTTTTTATTCAATTTATATTCTAGCTGTACACTAAAGGCAGAGATGTAAGAAGGAAGGAGAAAATAGGAAAGGGTTGTAAAAATGTCCATGCTTATGTGTATGTATAAGTACACCAGGGTGTATATTAATTACACAAAAAACCTTCTTGCTAGGTAACTCAGTGGAGTGTCAGTGTGATGGAGAAGGAATCTTGGCTAAAACATGAGTATAGTATTGGCAACTAAACTGAGGGCTCCCAGGAAAAAAAAAAAAAGGGCTATATGAAAGTTGGAACCTCATAATTTCATTAGCTGGGACTTTGAATCAGAAAGTAACAAAATAAGGAATCTCGCTCTGGGACTGTACAAACATAAGCTACGCTCTGCAACAGCCCATTCAGTTGCTGAATGATTGTTCACTTCTACCCGAGGGGAAACAAACCAATTAGGATGACTTGAGGGTATATCAACAGTTAAAACAGGGTAGGGAGAGCCTGATTTGTGTTTTTACATCATGCCATTAAAAGATTTATTTTAGCCATCTACTAGTGGGCTTGAAGGCTGATATGAAGGTTCCAGTGACAGAGCAGTAATCAGCTTTGCTTGTATCATCCTAGTTCAGGCACTAAAGTCATGCATCAGGGAATCTTTCAAAGCAAATTTTAAACCAGCTATCACTGTTAATGACTGCCCCAGCTCAGTCCTCTAGTCTTGTAGTCCTGTGAGGAACACTTACTCAGGGAAGTTTTCCCATCAACTTCCATGAGTCAATCAGTAAAAGCTATTTACTTGAGTAAGATCTGGTGCTATCAAGTCATTCCATCTGAATTATTAATTAAATTCCAGTGCACTACAGAAGATAACTATAGCACATGAGGCGTTTTGCTTCCTAATTATCTGGCTATGTCACTTGTTATATAACTTCATGTCATGTGTTTGGAGCACATTTAACCCTGATTTCAGGTGACTTTCACTTCTCTTAGACCAGTATTTTAACTGCTGCTACTGTAAAGGAAATACACTGAGATTCCTGAGCTCCTCTTAATGGCAAGTGAAATTGTGCACAGATGCTGGATCTTTCAAGCTCTACCTTTTTTGTTAAAGCAGCTGGAAAACCTGGATACCTTTGTTGAAAGCAAGAAGCAGCGCCTGGAGGACCCTTCAGCTTCATGCCTGCTCCCACCTTGTATCTCTCCAATACCGAATCACAGATTAACCAGCACTAAAGAGTAAGTTGTTTTTTTTTTTTTTCACATAACATTCACGATGGATTTCATGGTATTGTTCTACAAATGTCTTTGCTGTAGAGCCAAATGGGCTTTACAGCCCATAAGCGTAAGTGACCCGGCATTGTTATTCCCATCCATCAGGAAGAGGATCCACATGGTTTTGGATGAGATTCATTCATCCTTCTCATGGACTAAGGAATTCAGAGTGCTACCACAATCCTGGTGTACTCTTCTACCCCCATACTGCATCCTTTCAATGTTCTTTCTTGCCCCCATCATCCTTAACCTCTATGGCCAGAGAATCCTACTAAAAGTGGGCTTTATTTGATTGCCTGGAATTTATTTTTTTAAATCGTTTTTGTAAGAGACAGTTCTCAGTTTTATTGAACGAAATAGTGACTTTGCTGTTCACTTCAGCGGCTCTTATTCTTTAACTGTGTATGCAGCGATGCCAGGGGTGACCATCCTAAATGTTTCAGACATACGTGCTTTGTATTTCACCAGACATATATAATCAAATAGCTTGTGCCTTTCAGAGTGTCTTTGAGACATGGCTATAATGCTTGAGCAAACAGGCGCCACGTAAATAATTATTCTGATTAGTATAATCACAAGATTAACATTCTATAAATAACCAAAGAGTCCAGTTCCCTTCTGTTGTCAACTTTGTGCTTTTACGATTTTGAGATTCTTTCTGCTTTGCACTGGGACAAGCAAAGAATTGAACCCACAATGTGCTTCTGAAAACAATTTGATTGTAGTAGTATTTAAATTTAGATAAAGTTCAAAAATCATCTATGAAATAGCACACAAATTTTAAAATCCATAAGGAAGGTTGAGCATCATTTTATTTATACTGGTGTAATTACAGAGTAACCTCAGTCCAACCCCTCATTCTACCACTGAGAAAATCGGAGTCTGGAAAAGGCAGATGAGTTGAAAGTTGCAATGTGATCTGTAGCATGTTGCACATTTGATAAACATCATGATGGGTGTTGCCTGATTGTCATCACTGGAAATACAATGAGCAGAGATATATTGCAGAGGGAATCAAGGATTATCCATCCCCAACACCTCCACAATCCATTAAAAAAATCTTTCTATTCTTGTCACCAGCAAGCCCTAAGGATCCACCCCCAACCTGATGTTTCTTAAATTGAGCTTGTTTTCCAGGTCATTAATTTGATTCCTCAGAGCTTTCAAGCCTTTGGTATTCTCTGTTAAAATATAATTGTGTCCATCAATAGTTATTTCCATACGCTAGCTTTTCCTCTTGTCTGCCTCAAGTTTTGAAACAAAATTTTCTGACTTTTCCACTGCAGTGATTGAGACCTGGATCACACTGCATTTGTTATTAGTGTCTTCTGAGTTCGCTTGAAACAAATGCAATATTGTTTGATAATTCAGGTCTTCAACTCCCAGAGATGTGCAACTGAATATAGATCAACGTATTTCCCAAAAGATTAGGGAGCTGGCTAAACTGTGTGACGACAAACTTCTGGAGAGCCCCAGATTGTTTTTAAGCAGTCAGGAGTGGTTCTGTTCTCCAGAGGGTTAAGTAGAGTTTTAAGGGGAGGCAGAAGAAAGGGGAAGCTGAAAGTACACTGTTCCAGGGCATGGGGGAAAATAACACTTCAGTGATAAAAGGTTGAAAGACAGGCATTGCCATTTGCTCCTTTATTCCCAAAGGTCCTACATTTTCTTTCAGAATTCCTAAGTCTCTACATAAGGACTTTGAGAAATGAGGGTGATTCAGCTACAGGTGTGATGATGATATTTATCCGTTAAGAAGGTGTTACATCCCGTGGTGGATGTTCTCACTCAGGTGGAACCTTAGGTCTCTCCAGTTAGAACTTGATTCCTGTGCCAACAAGCCAAGTTCTCCAAAGCAGACTTCAGAGACTTTCACTGGGCTTTTTTGTAGATACAAGAGTGTTTTGACAGAAAGACCATGATTTCTGGGCCAAAATTTGGAGGCATTCAGGAGTCTGGAGGAATCAGCGAGAGATAGGCCACACCTGGGCTTTTGCAGCTCCCTCTGGCTGCCTATCTATGGTTTAGGCATTTGAATACATTTCTCTCATAATCTTT